TTATATTGTAAAAGCCACTAATATATATATATATATATATATATATATATGTGTGTACCTAGTGTCTTCCGTGCGTGTTGTATCTTCTCTAAGATTCAGCTCAGGTAATTAGATTCATCCTGAGTGTGCAGTCACTCAGCTTTATACCGTCGTACTGCTGGAGGCATTTGTGCACGGGTTTGGTTTGGATAGGCCAGTGGTAGTGGTGGTGAAAGGTCATCAGAGGTCGCGTGTGGGATGAGCGCCCGTGGGACAGCAGGCGGTGGACAGCAGACCGGACTGTTTAGTCTCCGGCACTGTCAGCGCACTGTCAGACCACAGTCCGCTGGGGGTCACCGGATACTTAAAGTAGCCAGATTCCCCTCACCAGTCTCCCGTACGGCGTGTGTGAAAAGAGGGAGGCAGAGAAATCGAAAGAGATAGAGGGGTGGGGGAGATAGAGAGCGAGAAAGGGAGGGTAGATAAGATGGAGAGAGTGGGGAAGAGAAGATGGAGAGAGAAAGAGACAGGGGTAGAGTCGTTATGTATCTTTTATATTGCCTAATGATTTTTAAGCATAGTCTGTACGTGGACTCACACAGACTAGCCGAGAAGAAACTGAGAAACTGAAATATTGCAGCTTCACTCATACGCTGTTTCTCAGAGAGAGAGATGATGAGAGAGAGAGATGAGGGAGAGAGAAAGAGAGAGAGAGAGAGAGAGCAGAGAGAGAGCAGAGAAGAAGAGAGAGAGAAGAGACAGAAGAGAGAGAAGAGAGAGGGAGGGAGAGGGAGGAGGGTGGGGAGGGAGGCGAGGGAGGGAGGGAGGGAGGGAGGAGGGAGGGAGGGAAGAGAGAGAGAAGAGAGAGAGAGAGAAGAGAGAGAGAGAGAGAGAGAGAGAGAGAGAGAGAGAGAGAGAAGAGAGAGAGAGAGAGAGAGAGAGAGAAGAGAGAGAGAGAGAGAGAGCAGAGAGAGAGTAGAGAGAGAGAGAGAGAGAAGAGAAGTGTGATCGACAAGAGAGAGAGGGAGAGAGAAGAGAGAGTGTGATCGAGCCGATCCGAGAGAGAGAGCTGAGAGAGAGAGCGCGAAGGCAGAGAAGCGAAGAGAAAGAATGAGAGAGACAACGAGGAGAGGCGAACCGCCGAGGGAGCGGGCTCTATTCGTTTGCCAGTGAGTTTAGTCATCAGAACACCGGCCGTCAGGTGAGTGCTGTCGTGCTGGGCTCTTGCTCATAAAGATAATGGTTGTTTTTTTAATCTTTGCAACTTTTATTAATCCAATCTTATTACATAGGATACGACTAAACGTGCCGTGTAAAAACAGGAGTAGATATTATCATACAGAGAGAGAGAGAAGAGAGAAGAGAGAGAGAGAGAGAGAGGAGAAGAGAGAGAGAGAGAGAGAGAGAGAGAGAGAGAGAGAAGAGAGAGGAGAAGAGAGAAGAGGAGAGAGATGAGAGAGAGAGAGAGAGAGAGAGAAGAACAGAGAGAAACAGGAGACATAACTAGAGGCGGAGAGAGCAGATAGAGATAGAAGAGACAGAGAGAGAGAGAGAGAGAGAGAGAGAGAGAGAGAGAGAGAGAGAGAGCGAGCATGGCAAGAGAGCGAGTGAGCGACCGAGGAGAGAGAACGTGTTGTTGATAGATATTATTGATGGTGTTTCCCATGGCGGGAAGAAATGACACACACCCGAGGTATCGAGGGTGGGTTTTGTCACCTCACGATGACGGCAGGCGGCTGTAATAAGCATGGCGGCACACATAATCCGTCTGCAGCGGTGCGTGAGAACGCGCGCTTGGTTACTTACACGCAGTTAACCCTCGTAATCACCTAGCGATTTCCCCGGATATCGAGTGGATGCCTGGATGGCATTACCCGTATGTCGCCTCGATATCTCAACCGAACAAGCGATTTCTACCATTGGCGGGGTTTTACTCGGATGCCGTTACGCACAGTACTGGCGCCTTTTTCTGGTCACTTTGGTTACAACTGAGACACGGCGTGACGCGGTCTTCCTGGCGTGGTAGAGTAGCGGTTGAATATATTCCCTATATTCTGTAACGAGCTTCCCGATAATTTTTTTTTTTACTGGAGAGTATTAGCCTTGCGTAATGGCCGATACGTAACCTGTACTCCTCGTACACCGGGTAAAGAGTTATACACGTACTTGTTATAATCGGGTAGTATGTTTCGCAGATGATGGGGAGGAGTTGAATACATTATAGCCTCCTATATTTGAAGGTAGGGCCGCAGAGAATGTAACGCTCGCATGATGGGAGAGGTGTAATGTATATTCCATGTTTGGTGGCATAGATGTTGGGTATATATATATATATATATTGTGTAATAGTTGGGATTGAAGGAAAGAGTGTATTGGAATGGAGTATGTTTATATAGTGTGGTAGAATACAATATCTCCTTTACGTGATGGAGAAGTGTTAAAGTATATTCCTGGTGTCATACAGAGGGCTATAGAGTATGTTATTGTATCCCATCTGCCGTACACAACCAGTAAGCGATATTTATATATATAATAAAAGTCTCCTGTCCCCGGTTGCTGAGAAAGAAAAGCGACAGCGCTGGTAGGAGGGAGGGAGAGTGCTGATGCTATCTGCTTAGAGGTCAAACTGGCTGGCACGTTAGCCGCTGGGTGGAGATCGGATGTCCCCCCCCCCCGTCTCTGCAGTAGATAGCCATCTATTACTGCCCACTTACGCAGCGGAGAGCAGCCGCGCGCAAACACACAGCGGGTCTTCTGGTGAGCTTTGTTTACAGCCGGCTAGCAGCAGGAGTTGGCTTCCGTGCGAGGAAAGAGTTGGACACCCTGTAGGGTGGTAGACAAACAGTCATTACCTCGTGAACACAGCGGCTGGACGGGGAGGGACAGTAGGCGTGACCCACTCTTGAGAGAGGGCGCTGGTGCTGCTGCTGCTGACCTGCCGCTGTTCGCAGTGACGTGTGACCGCGGTGGAGGCCGTGAGGTGTTTATGATGTGTGTGCGGTTGCTGTGGTTTATGACACAACTATTTGTCCCAAGTGGTAATTGTAATGGCAAAACACATGAGAGCCAGAGGATGAGCCACGAAGGAGACAGAGGAGGAAGGGAGTGATGGAATCATGGAAGCATATGTAGGGTGGGATAGTATATGTAGGGGGGGGGAGTAGGGATAGATAGGGGTGGGGAGGATTGTAGCAAATATTTGTCGCGCTTATTCATGATATCAAGAGTGAGTAAAAACAAATGCATTTTTATTCCCTCCATCGCGGTGACACCACGCGCGGGCTTTAATTTCCGAAAATGTTAAATAATGTTTAATGTGATCGTCTAACTTCAAGAAATAATATTCCTAACTATTACTAAAGGCAGAGCAATAAAATCTAACTATCAGCATGTATTTACATGCCAGTGTGTAACACTGTGTATGTGCGTACGTACGTACGTGCGTACGTGCGTGCGTGCGTGTGTATGTGTCCGTGTGTCTGTGCACGTTCTATTATACTCTTTATACTGCCCTGAACTACTAAGCTTCCCTTTCTGCTGCAATGATCCCCAGCCAGGTTTCGTCTGTGTGCTGGACACTTACCTCACAGGAGTCCCAGTCTCCTCGAGCCTGCACACCCATCACTCATCGGCGTGGATTGTATTTGCGTGATCACTCTCCTAGCATTAATTCCACCCTTTTTGCCATTCCAAAAGTTTGTACATGTAGTGTTACACGTAGCGCTATTTTATTGTTTACCGTGGCATTGCATGTAGCATTGCTTTAGTAGTATTTTTTGTTAATCATAATATAACGTTGCTTGTATCTTATATGTATTACATGTTATGATGTATATTGTGTAGTATATGTATTAGTATTATTTTAATTTTGATTTAAGCGTAGCGTTGTTTTTGCTTGTAACGTAACTTGTGGGAGCACGCGTGTATCGTTTATGGATGGATGGTAGATGCGTAGGCTACGTATGGATGTTTAGCTCGGTGACCCAGAATCTGTGCTCCCCCTCCCCCTCCTTTCCTGCTGTTCCTTGCTGGCGCGCGCCGCATCGACTCGCGTTTATTTATCTTCCCGCTCGCTCTCCAGACGGTGCCTGGTCCGGCTCGGCCGAGCCAGGAGGAAAAGTGTTGCGTTTCTGTTGGTAAACTCGCGCCCCCGGCCGGTCGCCAAACACCCCCGCGCTCGCTCGCGACTCCTCGCGCGCTGCCGCTGCGAATGTTTGTGGGGAGGGTACGCAATGTTGACGCTGCCGTGCGCGACCGTTTACAAACACGCCGAGCCGGGGCCAAATCCTCGAATCGAGGCGGTTAGGCCGTCATAGTTTAGTCGGCGGTCTTGTGCGTGTGTCCCCGAGGGGACGCGTGTATTAGCACCGGTGCCAGCGGTGTGCTGGCGGCGCCCGCAGTCTGATGGTGGCCGGGGAAGGGAAAGGTTGAGAGGAGGGTTTGATGTGCCTGGTTCGCAGGCGACGCGACAGGTTAGAGCAGTCGAGGGAAGCAAGGGATTAGGCGCTCTTGACTCTTGTTTAGGGGGATAATCGGGGATAAGCGCGTGGGTTGACTTCTCACGCTTGACCTAGCTGCTGCCCCTAAACGTCGGGCGTGTGGTGTGTGTGTGTGTGTGTGTGTGTGTGTGTGCGTGCGTGCGTGCGTGCATGCGTGCGTGTGCGTGTAAGTGTGTGCATGCGTGCGTGCGTGCGTGCGTGCTTGTGCGTGTGTGTACCTGTGATGTGTGTGCATACATGCGTGCGTTCGCGCGTGCGTGCGTGCGTGTGTCTGTGATATATATGTGTGTGTGTGTGTGCGTGCGTGTGTCCGTGGTCTGTGATGTGTGTGTGTGTGTGTGTATGTGTGCGTGTGTGCGTGCATGTGTTTGTGAGTGCATGCGTGCGTGCATGCTTCTGTGTGTGTGCGCGCGTGCGTGTGTGGGTATGGATGGGTGGGGTGTAAGGTGTAGGTATGAACGAATGTGGAACACTTTACTGTTGACCATTTTGACGACATTTATTTTTGTACACATTTTTCAGAGCACACAAATACCACATAAGGAGCCAACGCCACCACTGAATGCAGCCGAGGCCACACCTTCGCAACACCGGCCAGCAGTGCCCCCTAGTGAGGAGGACAAAGTTGCTGAGATGGAAAGAGAATTGGAGCTGGACTTGGAAAACCTTCAAGTTGATGATAATATAAACACAGAAGTGAGCGTTCTTCGATCAGTTCAGCTTAGCGCAGACTTGCGACTTTTGGTTGCTGCTGCAACCTGCAACCCATGCGATTTCGGAGCGATTTCGGAGCGATTGGGAACGACGAGTTGCTGCAAATCAAACCAGTTTGATTTCTTGCGACTCGTTGCAAGCAACCAGAATCGCTACAAGTTGCAGTTGCACGTTCCGGCAGACATAGCGATTTCACAGCAATTTTGACTGCGATTCTAGAATCGCAGCCGAGGTGCATGAAAAAGTCGCAAGTCTGCGCTAGGCTTTCAGGGGGGTCGAAGTAACGCAAGACCTAGTTTCAAGCGCAAATCGATAATTCCTCTTGGATAAGTCCTTTCTTGGATGAACAATGAGCGTGGGGTGGCGATGCATTCCTGGACTGGTAGTCATGCTGTCCAAGCTGGCAGCTATCAACGGTTACATCGTGTCTTCGTTAAACACGGTTTTTGGTTACCGCAGGAAGTTTTCAATCCGCAGTGCTCGAGCTCACATCGTTTGTTTATCAAGGCGCAATCACTTCTTCTGGGCTTGGTGTGTTAAAGAACGGGCGACAGAGGGGAAGCAAGGGGCAAAAAGCACAGCGAATATAGACTCGGGGTGTTATATATAGAGGGCGCGCACAGGTACGAGTGAAATCTGTTGCATTTGGGATCAGTTGCTAGAGCTGCATACGTGGTGCGTTGAAAACGCGTGGATTTCGTATTTTTCACACAGCACAGGGAGTTGGCACGTACATCGCACTGGTCCACTCGCCCTGCCGTTGCCTCCACCCAACCTTCCTCCCCCTCCCCCCACCATGAGCAGAAATGGTCGTCTCCCATGAGGCCCTTGACAGGAAGAGCTCTCTAGTGATGTTGGAAAGCTTGAATGTTTGTTTATGGAAAAAGCCGAGCGCTGCTTTTTTACGGGCCGTTCCTCTCTGGCGAGTGTTTCATGATAGATCGGATTTTGATGTGATACTTGCGCACAAATATTGACAGGCGCTTAAGTATCTGTTTGGCCTAATTAGAGCAAACACACTGGCAGCCGAAACTCGGAGGCCCCGGAGTCTAAAATAACTACAGATGTCATCAGCCGTTCTCTCGCGAAGGCTCTTGAAAATTGCGAGAGTTGGTTGGCGCCCTCCCCTGCCTGCCTGCCTGCTTGCCTGTCCGCTTGCAGGGAACGAAGTAGGACACGAAGAGGTTTCATCTCGCCATGTAAGGTCCCTTTCCCGTGCGTTGGCATGCGGCTAGCATAAAGCGGCGGCACCTTCGATACATAACACCAGTTGATTGGTGTGGTTGTGGGGAAGCTCCTACCCTGTATATTTCGGCGAGCAAAACGAGGAAGGCGTTCATGATCAGGTTTAGGGGTTTATTTCCTCATTAGATACACCTGATGCTAGCCTTCCGTTATGGCTCGCAAAGAAAACAATAAATAAAACTCACAAAGAAACGCGATTGTCTATATCTACGTTAAGCCTAGCGCACACACCCGAGCAAAACACGCTGAACGTGGAGCAAAACGTGTTTCGCTCGATGTTCGGGGCAGTGTGCGGATTCCCGAAACAAAAAACATTGCTCAGCTGAGCGTGTTTCGCTGAACAAGCAATGTTTGATTCGCGGAACGTGTTTTTGCCTGAGCATACGTTTTGCTCGGGTGTGTGCGTCAATCGTTCTGCTACACAGCGAAACGCCACAGACGGTCTCCAATCAATATCCTTAAAAATATCACATGACACACAAAATATGGATGTCCATTGGATGGCTATTTTTGATGTCATGTGACAGCAGTGTTTCTGTATGTTTTGCTCAGCTGTGTGCTGTGTCGGGTGGATTGTGTGCACTTGCTCGCCGAGTAGAACGCGAAACGCTGGAAAACAAAATTTCCCGTTTTGCTCGGGTGTGTGCGCTAGGGTTTAGGCAGTATGAGAGAAACTCTACCTGGCCCACTCGCCCGCTGGCTTGCTAGCCTGATAAGCATCGAACGCAATCCGTTCTTAAGCCTAGCGCACACACCCGAGCAAAACGGAAAATTTTGTTTTCCAGCGTTTAGCGTTCTGCTCGGCGAGCAAGCGCACACACTCCCCCCGACACAGCACACAGCTGAGCAAAACATACAGAAACACTGTCACATGACATCAAAAATAGCCATCCAATGGACATCCAATTTTGTGTGTCATGTAATATTTTTAAGGATATTGATTGGAGACCGTCTGTGGTGTTTCGCTGTGTAGCAGAACGCTTTAACGCACACACCCGAGCAAAACGTATGCTCAGGCAAAAACACGTTCCGCGAATCAAACATTGCTTGTTCAGCGAAACACGCTCAGCTGAGCAATGTTTTTTGTTTCGGGAATCCGCACACAGCCACGAACATTGAGCGAAACACGTTTTGCTCCACGTTCAGGGTGTTTTGCTCGGGTGTGTGCGCTAGGCTTTACGACTTGACGGTGCAATTAACAGATACTGATATGTGCGAAAACGCGGCTCGTTTATTTCATGAATGAGCTTCTTAAAGTCCGTGAGGTTGCCTTCAGCTGTGAACGCGTTTGCTGCACGTTCAGGCGACGACGGAGTTATGTTCGCGCGTTTCAGTCTCGTGGGAGATGTGCTTTGCACAAATGAGGTCATGAATCGCGAATTGTTTCTTATTGTAGCCCCGAAGGCGGCAGAAGCGAGGCGACCGTAAGGCAAGCCGGCTCATTTGCGGCGCCTGTTGAATTTCGATTTCTCGGTTTTGATACATTCCCATGATATGCATCGCTGATGATATACGCTTAGTGACGCGCCGTATCGAGTCACTAATTGATTCCGATGTCGTGGCGCCCACCTACGGACGGAGGCCAGCGGCTATCTGCGGGATCGGAACTAGTTTTTATTTGCACTCCATGGTGCAGTACATGGTGCAGTACGTCTCCGCTCGTCACAGGTTCACATAGACAAAAGACCCCCTCCCCCTTTCTCAAACTGTTAACAGCCATCTTGTTAATTTATGCAGCGTATAATATAAGGACTTTTCATGATATAAGGACTTCTCGCGTCTACCATTCGAAGGAAGGTCTTCATCATAAACTCACCCGCTTTCGTATCATCCCTTGCTCTATCCTATAATGATAAAAAAAAAATCTTGTGAGCTGGCAGTGATAAAGAAGATATTTTCCACATATCTCTCTCTTCCTTTAGGTGGTGCAGCTTTCGGGGGCCTACATTATTTTGTAAGCACTGAGATTACCAGTGAAAACAAGCAAGGGATGCTCATGATGGCTCGTGTCTGTTTTTGGAAGTGGCCTAGTTCGTCTCGGCGAGGGGAGAACGAACGGATCTCACACACGGCGGGGGGAGGGGGTCGTGCTGCTCGGGCGGGAGGGAGAGGAGGGTGGGTGCGGCAATGCGAGAGGGGAAGTATCGCGGGCTGCATCGTTGCCGAGCAGCTACCAAAATATTGCAACATCTGCGCGGCGGAGCGCGGCGAAGCATCTTCTCTCTCCACGCGAGTAAATAAACAGCGTCCAAAACTCTTGAAATAAAAAATATTTACTCTGCGCTCGGGTTAGGCTGCTGTTTTTCCATGTAAGCTTGTCATAATAGTGCCAAGTGGGCACACACTGCTGCCGAGCCGTATTATCACGGATCTGATTGCCTCGGCAATGAGTCGACTCCCTGCGCATCACTCCTCCTCCTAGTGATGTACTTAATCAGCGCGCACGCACGCCGGACCGTCAGCGCAGCCGGTTGCCATGACACCTGCGTGATGGCAGCAGGAGCAGCGCGAGTGTGTCCAGTGATTGTTTGCCTGTTTGCTGTTTTCACATTGCGTAATCGTTGGTGGGTGTGTGTGTGTGTGCGTGTGCGTGTGCGTGTGCGTGTGCGTGCGCGTGCGCATGTGCGTGTGTGTGTTCGTGTGCGTGTGTGTGCACGCGCGCGTGCGTGTTTGTGTGTGTGTGTATATAGGTGTTAATATGTGTTCACGTGTGAAGTTTGTTTAATTTCCTCTCTTATTTTCCAGGATATAAATTTGGATGAAGATTTGTTGGCTGATGAATGAGGAACCACCTAGTGGCAGAGATCAAAACTACTGGTGCCACGAGTATGTGTTTGACGCATAAGAAGACATTCAGCTAAATCACATGAAATAATACACACTACTTCCAGCGGCTAACAGCAGGAGATGTCAAATTCGACTGTTGCGGTTTGAAACAGCCATTTTGTTTCACCTTGGAAAATATTAAACGTGTTGGTACTGTCGTTTTTTTGCATGATCATGAAGTGCTTATTACACAATTGGTGTAAATTCCGTTTGGTATATGCCGTTCATATTAACACTTGATTTTTCCAATTTTATTGCAACTTTTTGGAGCTAATATCTTAAAGCTATCGAGTTATTATTGTGCAAGTGTACAAAGCTTACATTAATTTTATTGGACACGTAGTCCATTAAAATGGCTCTCCGCTGTCATGTGATAGGTAGCCTATCTCGCTCTGTTGCAGTTGTTCATCCCAAGGTTCAATGCATAGACTAAGGATGACTTGTAAATAATTTCATGCTTGCTTCTGGTTGTCGCATTGCGGTGGTATCACAGAAGAGGCCTATTACTTCTATTGTGGCGGGGAGGGGGAAGGTGAAATGCTATACTTCTAATCGGCCGCTAACATACATTCGTCCGTCAGCCAAGATGTTCATTCATGATCACTGATGTATTCGTCAAACGGTCGCAGGGATGTCTGTACATATCCCGGCACAACTGATGGGTATCCATGACAACGTTCCCATCAGCACACTGAAGAGTCGCTTGGCAGTCATCCATGCTGAACCTTGACCTCAGTGCATGGAAATATACGCTGGCTTCTGCATTTGTAGCGGTATCTTATGATAAAGGACGGCAGTCTACCATCTGAGTTTGTTCGCGGAGTGTGCTGTTGCGTGAGTGCTGGTTTCCTGTTGATTAAATGGCCAAACGTGCTCCCATGAAGCGGAAGCAGCGTAGTTCGTTGCGGCGGGATGAACGCTCCGTATTGTTGTGCAAACGACCATGTTTAATGTTTTCCTCTGCGTGCATGTCATACACCCTGTTTCACACCGGTGACTCACGATTCGTTCGTTCGTTCTGTCACGTGTGAGTGTAATGTTTGGTTTCCGGTGTCGGTGGTGATTGTTGATCGTGGACGGTTTGTCAGCGGGCCGAGGCATCGAAAGCCGCGGACGTAAAAAATATATATATATAGGATATTACTGAGCCTATGATTTATTCACATTATTATGGTTCTGGTTGTTTCGTTTATACAGAAACATCCGTGTGACATTGCCTGAATAAACTGTTTTCAGGAAACCCTTGTTTCGTTTATGCGACTTCTTCTCTCGTTCTAATCTTATAGAGCTGCAGTACGTGAATGAATGTTGGGCTTAGTTAGGAGTTGTCCATGCTGTCTTTATATGAAAAGATATAATGACAAGTGCTATCAATTTATATGGATCCTCACATAAATGCGTTTTATGCAGGTGCATGCAGAGAGATAGAGGTATTGGGAAATTAGTTAGATGTTGACCTATTTGGGGAGAGAAAGCGTAATAGTTCTTGGTTTCGTTAGCCAACAGTCATACCCCATTTATACTGGGGGTTATCCCGCTTCACCCGGGATAAACCCCAGTATAAAATGTCGAAAAACACTTAGCCCGAGCTAAAGTTATTCTACCCTAGGAGGTGGTTCAGGTCCGCTTCAGACCCGAGCTAACGTCAGTATAAAAGGTATCTCGACTTTAGCTCGCTCTATATTGCACGTCACGATCATCGCTCTCTGTCTAACGCTAAACCGGCGGCGTCCCCGAAGTCGGCGAGTAGGAAACGGGCTCTACTCCTCCGCAAATCCCTTCGGTGAGAGTCGTCCATAGCTAGCAGCAATTGCAGACAATGTCCATTGTTGGCTGGTAGCACCTCAAAGATCAACATAATGTCCATAGACTCCGTTGTCAAACGATATCCAATTAAACGCAGATCGAGATAATATTACGAGAAGCATGTAGCATTCTAGCTACCGGTATTAGAATGGTTAAAATTTCGCGCGGAACTGCTAGGTACTGTAAAAGCGTATTGATAAAACAAGTGTTGTTGACGTGAGGTTACCATGACAATTACGCCGGTCTCGCACGCAAAATGGCAGTATAAAACGACTTATCCCGAGCTAAAGTTATCCCGCTTCAGAAGCGGCTTCAATTCGTGCGCAGTATAAAACGACTTATCCCGAGCTAAAGTTATCCCGCTTCAGAAGCGGCTTCAATTCGTGCGCAGTATAAAACGACTTATCCCGAGCTAAAGTTATACCGCTTCAGAAGCGGGCTAAAGTCGTGCGCAGTATAAAAGCGGCATCAGAGACAGACAGAGACGGACGCACGCACGCACACACGGAGTGATACAGATACACAGAGAGCGAGGGGGGGGAGAGATAGAGCGTTAAAGAGCGGGTAAAGAGGGAGAGAGAGCTATATATATATATAGAGAGAGAGAGAGAGAGAGAGAGAGAGAGAGAGAGAGAGAGAGCGCGCGAGTGGTAAAGAGAGTGCGCGAGAGAGCGGAAAATTGGGAATTAAATCGTCATGTCTCTTCCATATAAATATATTTTCTAGCTAGCTTGTCTGAGCGTTCATGTGTAAGAAAGTTAGCGAACAGACACTGGCTGCTGGAAAAATTGAGATAATGTTGCTTCAATGATACGCTGTTGTTTGGTGTGTTTTCGCGCGAAGCTGCTGTCAATAGAGCGTGTGAAGAGGGCTGAAGCGCACATCCCAACATAAAAACCGTAAAACAAATAAATTTGAAGGTGAGAGAAATTCCGGAAAATGACCCGGTATACGCCCTTATCGAGATAAAACACTAGAACATAAACTTAGGGATATGAACAACGCAGAAGGAAACGTGGTGTCCGAGTATAAACAAGATCACAAATATCCAGGAGTTACTACTAACATGACTAATCAAGGCGGGTGTTATTTGTTGTGTAATGTTACCTGAAAACAATGCGGTGTTTACCAGCGGGTTTCGTGCAAATTATATTCCAGTATACCCGTGGTAATCTAGGATTTTGTTTTCCACTTTCCCTGAAACAGTAAAAAAATTATGCAATGTGCTTAAATTAGCTTCCCATGCAGCTAGGTCAACCGAAATGTTCAAAGCATCCGACAGAAATACCAGCACACCTCTTTGTGCCTTTGAGAAGTCTTTCACCTAGACGGACAGCTATTCGCAGGGAAATCTTTGCACATAAATCACATGGAGGTCCAGACATGCGGTGCGAATTGTATTCGATTTTACGAGTTTAATGGCTTTTTGCACCTCGTTAAAAGTGGATCCTTGACAGTTTTTAGAGGGGAATTGCTTCCCGCAGGAAGCCAGTGAGTCGTATTTTAGGAGCTGAACCACTGGGAGCAGTCGGTTACCGCATTCGTTTGACCTCGACGCCCATATTTAATCAACACTAAGTAATACAATGTTATACATTGTATCATTACACACTGTTGTGTTTGAGTAATTGGCAAAACACTACAAAGTGGCAAGAAGGGGCACGGTCCGAGTGGGCGAGTATAGCTGCGGTCGATTTTAATTGGCTGTCATTCATTGTACCTCATGGTGAGAGCAAAAACGGGATCAGCGTGGCTAGAGAAATTGGTGCCTAACCTCTGACTAATTTTCCTTCTAAATCTAGGCAACGTAACCAGGTCACGACTTGTCGATGCTGATAACAGATTTGAGAGGGTGATCTGAAAGAAAATTGCGTAATGGTTTCCGTGCCTAATTACTTTTAATTAGCTTCGAGCCGACGAGAGAGCGTGAGAGATTGTGTGGGAATACGTAAGAAACGTAACATTGAAAACGTGAGGGAGCAAACGTACCCGCGTATATGCGTTCAAGAAGATTACTACCTATACATAGTTATATCGCATGCCATGTGCCGTTTACATATATAATGAAACTATATGGAAATGGAATTATGAAAAAATAAATGGAATTATATTCTCGCTGGTAACATCAGGAATGTAGCCGACATCCTCGCGGCTTGTTGTCTGTTTGTTTGTTGCTTGGCGACGGCCGGTCAAACGGATATTGTTGTAAATGTTGCGACTAGTATGTCATTTCCAGTCTATCAGCCGTCGTGCGCACTATACACTACAGCGCTCGCTAGTGCTGTAACAATAATTCCTGTTTGTTTATTGTTTATTCCACACTTAAAACCATTTCAAACAAATATACCGGCGATCATGTGCGGTCAAGATATCACGCGAGAGCCCGCGGAAAACACAGCAGGCCTACTGCTGATAGGGTCTATGTCCCCCAGGCAGGGGCGTAGCTACGGGGGGGCCTGGGGGGGCACGTTGGCCCCCCACAAATTTTTTCTGTGGCCCGCCAGGTCCCCCCACCTTAAAAATTCATGGCTTGATCAAAAAAAATTTGAAGTAAAAACAATGCGCTTAGAACAGTAAAAATAAAAGAACGTTTGGATATATTGTGCCCCCCATGAAAATGTAAGGCCGCCCCGCAGTGCCGCCCCGCTGAAGAAAATCGCTAGCTACGGGCCATGCTCCAGGGTACTGCCGGAACGTAGCTGGGTTACGGTCCGGTATAGACCGGAACGTAGCTCTGTAGATTAAATACTAACTATGCTAATATGCCGACCGTACCTCGCCTACTCCATAACGAGTCTAGGGAGTTTGCGCTGACGCTGACTCCCTAAGCCTAACCCATAACCCTAATCGTGAACCCTAACGTAACCCGTAACGATTCAGCTCCCGATAGTTACCAGGGGTCGTTCGCGCTATACCGGACCGTACCGGGTACGTTCCGGCAGTACCCGGGGGACATAGACGCGCGTATGCAGCCAGTACGCCTAGCTAGACCAGTTTACAAAACTTTCGCATCTAGTTTGATGGAAACATTAATACGCACGAAGAAGTGACCTCTATAAGAGAAGCCTACGAGCTTGTGTAGACTGCTAGGCGTACTCCTACCATCACCCCACACATCTATTTACTTTCTCGCTCTCTTCCTACTAGCTCTCTCTCTCCTCACTATATATCTATTGGGGATGTATCTGGGGATCTATCCTGATTTATCTATTCTATCTAACTTATGCCATCTATCTGATCGATCTATCAATCTATATTATCGATTTTTGTGTTTCTGGAACGGGCGTTCTTCTGTGCTATAATAATATATATATATATATTGTAATATCTATATACTATATTATATTATTAATAGTATATATAGTATATAATATATATATATATATACATTATATATTCTTTATTTATCTATAATTGTCTCGTATTATTTTCGCGTCCTTTCTCTCTGTTTTCGTTGCGATTGTTCTCTCAGAGTGACCTTAATTGACACTGCGTCAGTGATGTAAGAGGACTAAGGTTGCGCCATGGTAGCGGGGTGGCGGGCGCAGAAGCTGGCACCAGCAATTACAGAATTCCACGACAACAAATGCAAATACCGGGCAACACAAATGGCAATCCCGGGAAACACAAATGCAAATCCGCACACAATATGCAGAAGCAGTCACAACACAAATGCAAACGTCAGGCTAACACAAATGCAAAATCCTCACGAACCACAATGGCAACGCACAAAGGGCAATGCAAACGCCAGCAAGCACAAGCAAGACTCACAACAGGGAATTCGGGTGGTTGCGGCTCGCGCCCCCGGCGGGGCCGCTACAGCCAAGCAAATGCAAACGCCGCCACAACACAAATGGGCAAAAGTTGGCCTGCGCCGCGCCCGCGCCTGATACTGTTTGTATGGGCCGCGATTGCATCAGGAGTAAGATTAATCCAGGGATTCTTACTCGGCTATCACTACTCTGATTGTTATACAGTCTGTTAACGCCGCGCTCACGCCGCTCCGCACACACGCTATCACGCTAGTAGTGGCCCGGTAGAGAATGGCTGGTAGAGGAGGAAGGGGGAGAATGCTGTGGAGAAGAGGAGGGGGAGAAGTCGGGTGGAGAGGGGAGGAAGGGGGAGAAGCTGGTGGAGGAGGAGGAGGGGAGAAGGGGGAGAAGCTGGTGGGAGGAGGAGGGGGAGAAGGAGAAGGCTGGTTAGAGAAGGAGGAGGGGGAGAAGCTGGTGGAGGAAGGACGGAGGGGGAGAAAGCTGGTGTGAGAAGGAAGGAGGGGAGAAGCGGGTGGAACGAGGGAAGGAGGGGAGAAGCTGGTGGAGGAAGGAGGGGGGGAGAAGGGAGAAGCTGGTGGAGGAAGAGGAGGGAGAGCTGGTGGGGGTCGGAGGAAGGGGCGAAGGGAGAAAGCTGGTAGAGAAGGGAGGAGGGGGAGAGAGC